AATAATAAAGCATAATTATATTGTTCATGGTATTTCTTCACACAAGAAGTAGCAGCAATGCCCACTTCGGTTGCTTAAGTTGACTATGAAGCATTAATTAATGTAAGGTTACTTTAGAGTTTGATGATAATAATTATTAAAAAAATATTTAGAAATATATTAAAGTAATATATATATATATATATATTAAAAATTATTTGTCATATCAATAAATTAAAATAATATAAAAATATTAAAAAATTAATTTTAAAAAATATTTTTTAAATTTATCTAACTAACACAATACCAAATAAAAGTCCAGTGCATTCTGATTTTTCACAACTAAGGTCTGCAAATGTATCAGATTATAATCATTTAAAATTTATTAAAAAGTATAGTTATGGTTGATTTTTAAATTATTTTTTATATTTAAATATGGTCATCGTTGATTTTTAAATTATTTTTTATATTTAAATATATTAAAATAATATTTTTATTTTTTAAATATTATTTTTAAGATCAATATATTAAAATAATTCGAAACTTATAAAAAAATTAATTTTTAATAAAAAATTAATTTTTTTAGAAATTCACGTTGCTAAACGTTCTCCTAATCAACTTTGATTAGCCAACTTGTTTTATTTAAATATTTTTTAAATAAAATAATTTTTATTTAGATAAAAATAAAAAATATTATTCTAAATAAAGTTAAAAAATTAAATTTCTATTAGTTACGAGTTGAGTGTTATCCATATTTATTGATTAATATCCAAACTAGTTTGGAAAAAAACCTGGCTTAGCCCAAGCTTTGAAATGATAAATTATTAGATGAATCCGTTGATAATTATGCCTATCATCATCAAGAATACGAGCGATTTTTACGATTAAAAAGTGTTTATACTCTGCTGTTATTTTTTTTTTCCTGGTGAATGCAATGACTCAAATTCCAAATTATATTAATGATAATCAATTATAATAAATAAAAAAACTTATTTTAACCATTATTACAGTTGAATGAGAGAATTCCTAGCCTTGCTGTGTTGGTGTTCTTTAGGTGCCCATACATACAATCAACCAACAAATTAAAACCAAGGTTTCAGGTTATCAGTTTGGTCTCTAGCTCTACTGTTATAGGTATATTCAATTGTTGAGATTTTAAATTTATTTTTAAATAATTATAAGTTTGAGTATTTTAAGAAAAAAATTAATTAAAAAAATTAACTGGAAGAACAAGATCCGTAATCACTGTGCATCAACCTAGCCTGGAGGGAGGAGATCTCCCCCAGAGCACATGGGGAAATGGGAATGCAAGATATAATTGAATGGAACGTTTCTTGAAAAGAGAACAAGACTAAAATGCATACTTTTAAGCTTTCTTGTAATGGAGAACGAGCCTTACATCGGGAGACACTATCTGCTGGTGCAACACGTTCAAGATAGCTTGCCGGGACATGATTTCCGGCTACTTTTTGTTTGGCCTGGCTTCTACCAAATTCCACAACCACCACACCTACGAAGGATTGCTTGACACCATCAATGGGCAACCCACCTAGCACACTATAACGGTGCTTGCTTAGCTAACTTCAATATTCGTGCCAACAAGTCCTATCTGCTGTGGTGCCAGATCGTTAATTATGGCTGCAATTTCTTCCGTACTGTTCATCCTTCGTTGCACAATATTCTTCTAGCTTAGCTGGTTGTCATCTTGTTTTTTCTCTCGTCAACAAGAAAAGATAATATTCTTGGTGAGTTCTATAAATGCAACAAAATCTAGAGTTAGGTAGGAAAATGGAATAATATTAATTAATGAGTAGAAGTCATGCATGGCTTAGACTAATTACCTCTCCAAAGTCTCTCTCTCTCTCTCTCTCTCTCTCTCTAATTAATTTGAGCATACTTCTCCAAATTCTTCTTATTCGGTCCTTTAATGTTGTTTTGATAGCGATTGGTTTGAGATTAGTATTTTATACATGTGAATGGAGGTCTCGGGGTGTAGGAAAAATACTTCATCACTCGGTAGATACTTGATTTTACAAAAAATAAAATTAATTTTATTAATTAAAAAAAATCAGAGTTTAGGGGTTTAAATTTGAGACTTGGACAAATATTTTTTTTTTGTTTTTTGCTAATATCAAGAACTAATTTATTCAATAAGGAAGAGTTTTTTTCTTTTTCACTTAACTTTATTTTTTAATTTGATCAATTCAAATTAATTTTATTAGTTATTTTACTTTATAGTTTGTTTTGTTTGTTACGAGCTTATCACAAAGTCTAGGAAAAATTCCAATGCTTGGTTAATATATGATTTGATAGAATAAAATAAAATTATATTGATATAAAATAATTAAGTTTTAAGAATCAAATTAAAAATTAAAAAAATTATAATGAACCAGTATACTAAACTATGCTGCCACGTGGACTCCACACACCAACATGTGAATGAGACTCGTCGTGTTTAAGTGAAGGTTTGTTGTATCATATAAAGTGTTGCCTAAAGATCTATTTATTGAGGTAATACATTGGTAGCATCATTCTCTTTTCTCTTTTCAGGATTTGTATTAGTATAACCAACATTTAAAGGTGTCTGGTAATTTCTCTACATTAATTTTAACTATCATTTATTTTTTATTTTTTTTATTGTGGGTTTTTTAAAATTAAATTATTTTTTAAATTTACATTATTTTTGTCCAGTAAATTATTTCTTTACATTATTTTTTTTTGGGATAACCAAGGTGATGGATCAACTTGGTGATCCTTCAACCTGGAGCCTAGTTTAGTTGGTCAAACCAATACCTGTCAATCTAGAGTGTTAATCTTTGAAGTCGCACGGTTAATTTTTTATATATTTTAATGATAATAATAAAAATCGATCTAGGGTGTTAATCTTTGAAGTCACACAGTTAATTTTTTATATATTTTGATGATAATAATAAAATAAAAAATTGACTAATAATATGCTTATTTGAAAATAAGCTTTAGAATGGTTTTATACAGAGAAAATATCAATAAGCATAGTAGATTACGTAGAGAACTTAATTTGTAAGTCCAAGAAAGGAGCAAAATGAAGACTTGGAATAAATGTTCATTTTATTGCTTAAATATAAATTTTTATATCTTATTTAATAACATAATTAAAATGATTTCACATATTTTAATGTACATACATTTGATGGTTAATAATTAGATAAAATCTAATAAGAATTCATCTAGTTTAAACTATTAAATTTAGAATTATACATAAATCAGTTGCTTGTTTTGGATTACCAAATGAAACGATCAATCACTTATTTATTAGTGTTGAACATCTGAAAATTTTATAGGAATGGGTCGACCAACTGTCTTGATCAATCTAAAATGATTGATCATTTTATTTGTCAGAAGAATACTAACAAGTATAAACAACTAGTTTTTCTTAAAAATATAAATATAACTTGTCTAATATAAAATTAGCAAAAAAATCCAAACATATATGATATATAAGCTATTTTAAGAGTAAAACTACTACAAAAATCATGCAACACTCTAACTTGTCTTATTAAATCTTCATATTCTAGTATAGGGTATTTAATTTCATTCTCCTTACACTTAAATACCTTCAAATTCATTAAGCACTATGTTATGAAATATAAACATATTATAACTTCCATTGAATTATCCACTAAAACGAGAGAGTTTATTGTGAAAACAAAATTATCATTGTAATCTTTTTAAATTTAGATAAAAACTTTTGGTATTGGTGAAGGAATTTCACCTAGAAAAAAATCTTAAATAATGAATTTTTTTAAGTTGTGTAAAAAGTTTGGTGTAGATTCATCAAATGTAATTATACTATAAAGCTTTTACAAGTTAATAAAAACAATACTCAAATACGATTTGATACTTGATATATGAACATAAGCTTGTAGAATTACATTAAAAACAAGTTTATAAATTCTTTTCCCTCATATTTTTTTACTTTAAATATTTTAATTATATTGTTAGTTATTATATTTACTTAAAATAATTTATATTAATTAATTACTGAGTCTAGTGATACATTTGTTAATATCAAGTTACCTTAATTTCTGAACATCAAAGAGTTTGGTTAATGAAAAATCTAATTTTTTATTTTCAGAATTACATCACTTCAAAGATTTTTTTTTTTTTTTTAAGCTTTGGGTCGGGTCGAACTTCAAGGCGCTGGTCTTATAACCGTACACGTGAGAAATATGTACATATGGTTCCATTAACGGAGCTAACGGATTTTGAATTTGAAAGAAATGTGACGCTTATGGAGCTTAATTGAAACTAAACAAAGGTTTTTGGTGAAATTGGGACAACATTTAAATCTTAGGAGGTCAAATTGTAAATTACCCATAGTTAAACGACACGTCGTGGATCCTCAATGGATCAAAACCGCAGAGGGAAGGTATATGCCACGGCACGCCTCTTTTGATACCCAAACAAGTATTCCTCAATAAGAAATGGGCCCACACTACACCGACCCTATTGGCCGATGCCACTCTCGTGAGATCATTTCCAATACAAAATGCTATTTTGAAAAGCTAAATTGATCCTCGGTAAGATCATCTTCAATGTAAAATGTTATTTTAAAAAGTTAAATCAATAAAAAAGCATTTTAAATAGTATAAATATAATTTATTTTATTATATTTATTTCAATAAAAAAAAGCCATTTAAAAAGTCATTTGTATTAAAATGAAAAAAATAAGTGTTTTATTATTTTTTTAATATGTTTAATATTATTTTTTTCCACATGTCTACATTTTATTTAGTTGGTCTATTTTTTTAGTGATCCTAATTTGTTGGTTTTGGCTCTTTAAAGAAATATGTAGAAATAGCATTTATAGAAAAAAAAAAAACATTTTAACATTTTATTTGACTTCTCTTTTAGAATGTACAAAACAAACAAAAAAAAATCAAAATATTAATTTTTTATTTTTAGCTCTCCATTTGCTTCTCCATTGGAGATGCTCTAACGGAAGAAAAAACCGAGAATGCTTCTCCCCATTGAAGATGCTCTAACGGAAGAAAAAACCGAGAAAGCCATCTTCTTCTTCTTCAATTGGAAGCCGGCGACGAGAGGACATCGACACGGCAGACATGGCAGGAGGAGGTAAGAGAAGACCCAATCACAGCAACGAAAACAGAAACAATCAAAACAACAACAGAAATGCCAAAACCGACAGTGGAGGCGGCGGAAGCAGCAGAAGGCGATCAAAATCAACTCGAAATTCCCTCTTTATCGATGGCGGTCTCTTGGAAGACTGGTCTCCCATCCATTCAGGTCCGTCCGCTAATTCTTTCTCATTTTTTTTTTTTGCTGAAAAAGATCAAAACGCATAAGTTCAGATTAGCTTAGTTTTCAACTGCATTAGGGTTTTCGAATAGTGTGAAGTGAAATTGTTTTTTTAATTAATTTCTCGGGTTCTTCTATGCTTTATTTTTAGATTCCTTTATGGTGTTGAATTGCAGGAAGGAGTGTTAATGTGAATTCGAATTCCAAGTGGGTTTCGAAACCGGGGAATTCTAGTCAAGGAAAAGTGGGTTCTGGTTCGAAGAATGGGCCTCGTAAATCCTGTGAAAATGCTTTTGGTTATAGCTATCCTTCTTCTGAGCTTCAGGTATTGTTACTTACTAGGAGTTGCTTTCCGGCTGTTTGCATGAAAAAATGTGTATGAGTAGACTGGATGAAGAGAACTATCTCGAAAAATTGGGTATCAATTTAGAATTGGAGTGATTAGAATTTTCAGGTTCAAGTTTGCTTCCTTTCCTTCTTTTTCTGTTTTAGTTTAGGGCTCAAAATGGATGCTTTGTCATTTTCTTTTTGCAGCTAATAAAATTTACACTAATTCCTGGGCATTGGAAATAAGAAATGTCTTTCACTGGCTTGATCATTTCTCTTATTTTCTTTTATCTATAATATCAAAATCAGGGGGGTTCGTCTATGTATTTGCATGCATTCTGAATATACATTAACGAAAATGAAAGGAAAAAGGTTGTTCAAATTGGATTTTCACGATGGACTTTGATTGAAATTCACCTAAATATCAATCTATTAAAATGGAGCTCGAGTAAAGTTTCTCCCTTTAATAAAAAGTATGTGGCAATCATTCACTGCCAGACAAATGAATACAGAAGTGTTCATTTTGTTTAACCTTTTTAATTGTTGTGTAAGATTAGAAGTTGGTAAAATATTAATTTGGGTGATTCTAGTTACAGTGTTATTCTTTCTTTTTTTCTTTTTGAATATTATAGGAGGGTGTAGGCAGAGGTATGGATGAATCGCAACCTATTGTTGTAGTGCATTCCAAGGAGACTGAGATTGTTGCATATTTAGATGAAACACCAACTTCGAAGCCCTATAATTTGAATTCAACTTACAACTACAGTTCAGATTTTCTACTTGGTGAGAGCTCACACAAGGGATTGGGGTTCTGTGAGGAACTTGAGGCTACCACTGGTGCTGAATCATCCTCAAAGCAAATGGAAGAGGAAGAGAAGAAAGGATCTTCTTTTGATTCATCATCTTCTGATAAAGAAATGGATGCTGATGATACTGCTAACTGTGAGGCAGGTGAAGAAATGCTGACTGCAGCATTTTCTCAGAAGAAAAATTCAGCTTTTTTGTCTATTGGAAGCATAAATTTATTCACCCAAGATATATCTGATGGGGAAAGTGACGAGTCACTGGATGAAAGCTCCGAATCTTCTGAACAAGGACAACGAGTTGTGTCTCAAAGTGATGACTCTGAAGGCACATCTGATTGTGAAACGGATGTTGATGATGAAGTTGTAAAAGATTACTTGGAAGGAATTGGCAGCTCCAGTATTCTAGATGCCAAATGGTTGGTAGAAAATGATTTGGGTGATTCAGATAAGGATATTTCTTCTAGTGGTTTCTTCGATGAGACTCTAAAGAAGTTGAGTGGGATTGCCCTCGAGGAGGCATCTAGAAGTTATGGTATGAAGAAACCCCAATCAAGAAAGTACCATTCTTTGTCTGCCAGAGATGTGTCTCCATTTTTGGATGATTTTATGCTTGTAAAGGATCCAAGAATCATCTCTGCCAAAAAGAAGCATGTTGCCCGCTTGCCTCAGTCTTGGCCTTTAGAGGCTCAAAGGAGTAAAAACTTTAGAAATTTTCCTGGTAATGTTTACGTATACGCATTTATCCTAATGCATTGCATTCTACATGTAACATGCTGTATATCTATGATCTTCTTTAATTGGCATTTTGTAAGTTGGAGATTGTGATCCCATTCAGTGTTGTATGATTGCCAGTACTGGGATTGAAAGTGTAACCTACTGTCTTCATGTATTAGCGTGTTGTGCCCATACTCTTATGTTTATATGTCCTCGTGCATGTCTCTCTGGAACCCTTTGTACCCCCCTTTGCTTCTTAGAGTATAAAATGATGCTAGCAAGGTAGTTGGTTGCTTCAGCGTCTTGGAGTTAGAAGCTATTCTTCTCTGATGTTTTGATTTCTCTGGAAATTGACACTACTGGGTGCAACTAACTTTTTTGCATGTTTTTAACATGCTAATCATTCAGGTGAAAAAAAGAAACATCGTAAAGAAATGATTGCTGTCAAGCGTCGTCAAAGAATGCTGGCCCGGGGAATTGATATGGAGAAATTAAATAAGGTAAATGAATTCTTATTAGATTGATTGTTCCCTCCTTTCTTTTTGTCAATGATATGTTTGACAGCATCACAAACAGCTATTCATTTGTGTACCTATCAGCTAAGGAAGGAATTGATTTATTAGCTCCTTTTAATTTCAAAGCAACATGAATGGATGAAATAAATGATCAACGGTGCATTTTAAGTTAGTTTGAATGAGAACTAACATGTTGGTACCTTTTGTGCGTGTTTGTTATTGTGGTGCAGAGGGCTTTCAAAAGTGTTTTTTACTTGGAAATGTATCAAAATATTCTTTTTCAGATTTCTTTTTTTTTCATTTTTGATATCAACACATTAAAATAATTGGAAAATACTAAAAAAAATCAATTTGATGTTTTTTCAAGGCAAACACACTTTTCAAATGCACCAAAATGCAGCTGGAAATGCAATACTAAACATGCACTTAGTTTGCAAGTGCAGCTATCAGGGAAAAAAAAAAGAAGAATTTATCTATGGGACTGTAAATCAAGGCATGGTGTTGTGTTTGTTTGGAAATGGAAATGGATGGATGAAACAGAGATGGAAGGGATGAGAAGGATGGATTGTACATTCCATTTGGTGAGGTGGATGTATGCCCGATGAAGGAAGAGAGGAATCCCTCCTTTTCCCTTAGGGCCTGACATTGTCAGTTCTTCCAAATTGGACATGATTGAGAAGGAAATATTTGGGCGTTTCTACTTTACCTACTAGTTATTTGCTGCTTCCTTTTTCTTTCCAGCCGAAGGGCAAAGTATGGTTCCTTCCTTTTCTTTCCTGTCTAACCATGATCAGAGTTTACAATTGTCTTTTACTTGATTTTGTCTATATGCTTATGAAGCTGGAGAAATTGATGGTGTTCTGTGCTTTTCGATGATGTTTATAATGCCATGTGCCTTCTAGTCATCAATGAATTGTACTGAGCTGTCTAGCAAGCATAACAAATCACAAAAAATAATAACTAATAGCAAAGAACTAATGACTTCATCTTTTTTTTTTTCCCTTTTAAATTGTAGAAACTAGAGCAAATTGTTTTGGATGAAGTGGACATATTTTCTTTTCAACCCATGCATTCACGGGATTGTTCCCAGGTATGAAAACTTGATTCCTCTATATCGTATTGTATGCTTCATTGACATACTAGCAAGGATTTACCCTCTCCTTTTCTGAAATATATTGTGTGTTTTTGGCTTCATCAAATCTAACAATATTCTAATATTATTATTATCTTCCTTACCATTAGGTTCGACGACTGGCAGCAATTTACCGCTTGCATAGTGGGACCCAAGGTTCTGGCAAGAAAAGGTGACCAATGAACTAATTCTTCATATATTTGCTGATGTTGGTGCTAAAATTTGCTGAGATTTTTTTTTTTTGGTTCTTTCAGCTTTGTAACAGTGTCAAGAACACAGCACACATGCATGCCATCAGCTACTGATAAACTCCGTCTAGAAAAGGTTCCTAATTTTCATCTAATTGCATCATGCAATTGCATGCTCTGGTCCCAACAATTTTAATGATTTGTGCATTGCTAGCTGCTTTTTAAATTTTCACCCTCGCACGATACCTGTCTTTTGGTTTCAGCTGATAGGGGCTGGCGATGACAATGCTGATTTAGCTGTTAATGAAGGTCCAAGAACAAAATCAGCTAGTGCAGACAGAAAGAGGAAGAAGAAAAGCGCAAGGGGGAGTGGTGGGAGAAATGGTTTATATGCTAGTGGTGGGAGAAATGGTTTATATGCTAATCAACCAGTGTCGTTTGTATCAAGTGGAGTAATGCAATCTGGAGACGCTGAGACCATAACAGTGGATTCTCAAGAGATAAACGGAACTGGTGAAAACAAGGATGCTACAAGCTCATCGTCGAAGTTTGGTGCATTTGAGGTGCACACTAAAGGATTTGGATCTAAGATGATGGAAAAAATGGGATTTATACAAGGTGGGGGATTGGGAAAAGATGGTCAAGGTATGGCACAACCCATTGAAGTGACCCAGCGGCCTAAATCTCTTGGTTTGGGTGTTGACTTCTCCGACATCAGTGTTGACTCGGTGAAGAATAAACCTCAAAGCAGTAGAACTGGAACGTCTATAAAACATAGTAAGACTGAAAACCTAGGAGCTTTTGAAATGCACACCAAAGGATTTGGATCCAAGATGATGGCGAAGATGGGTTTTGTTGAAGGCATGGGCCTGGGCAAAGATTCCCAAGGTATCGTCAACCCTATAGTTGCTGTTAGGCGTCCAAAAGCTCGGGGGTTGGGTGCCAAAAGTTAGGCATCGGCTTTCTCTTTTTCCTCGGGCCGAACATAGCCGACAAAATGTATAATTTGTTTTAAAGGTACTTGCTGATAAATTGATCTTGCCTTGTACCTAAGTTAATTACTAGCATAATTACCCGACTGGGTAACTGTTGCAAGGGAAATTAGTCTGTATGGTTGTGTTTGATTTTGAAAGTTTTTTTATTTAAAAATAATTTTTATTAAAAAAATTTATTTTTGATAGTATTACACTAAAATGACTTAAAAATAAAAAATAATTTAAAACAAAAAATTTAATTTTCTCAAAAACATGACTTCTCTTATTTTTTATTTTACCGTTGCCACCTTCAATGTACTCAACACTTGTTGTCTCGAACTATCAAGAAAAGGCCACGTGTGGCTCATTTAAAGGCTGTCAAGAATTTTTATTTGTTAGGAGATTCGTAGTGGAATGGACAGATAGAAATGGCAAGTAAATTAACCACCAATGAATGAATGACAAAAGGGATTAAGAATGATTCATCTTCTGCTCAAATCATTGCTGCAATTTCATTTTCTTTCCATAACTCTTCTTCTCGACTGATTTGTTTAACTGTTCTTGGATAACATCTTGATTGGAACCTTGTGAAATGGGTTTGTACCAAGTGGTATAAGAACCTCAAACCTTTGAATTTAAGACATGCCACCTGAAACTCGATCCCAAGATTTTAAGAGGATTGAAGACTCCCTGTAAATAAAGAACAAACCCCTAAATATATTAAGGTTATGAAATTGTTAGAAGTGTATGGTCGAAAGTCGGACAACACTACATCTAATTATGAGGCTAAGTTTGGGGAGTTTAAGGATCTTATCGGTGGGCTCTCATAGCAACGAAGTTTCATTATGCAAAGGCTGCAAGTATCTGCTGAAGAATCCAACACTGCTAGAGATTAACAAGTTTTCTATAATAGAGATTCTACTCCAAAGCATGCTTTACACGTGAAGGGAAGACACCAATATCAACCTCAACCTCGTAAGGTCCACAAACCCAAACATGATTTTCCAACTTTTGATAGAAATGGTGTTTATAAGTGGATTTATAATTGTAATCCCTACGTTTGAGACGAAAGAAATTGATGACTCTAAAAAGCTTAAGTTGGGTTCATATTACCTGGATGGAATGATCATTTATTGGCACTAAAACTTCATGAAGAGTGTATGAAATAGGGGTGCGAACTAGAATGAGTATATTAATGCTTTGTAAAGTAAATTTAGGGGTCAACATGACCCATTAGAGGAGCTTAAAAACCTTAAACAAACTAGAAGTTTGGAAGTATGCATTCAGGATTTTGACATCTTGTGGAATATGGCAGAAATTAATGAGAAATAAGCCCTAATGTTTATGAGAGGATTAGAAGTGTAGATAAATGACCTGGTGAAAAACCTAAAGCCTTGAAATAATCTTATAACCTAACAAGGTTACAAGAGAATATCCTTACATATAGAAGATCCCATCACAATCTCACCAAAAATCATCTCAAACCATAACTTAGGCCACGTTCACTCCCCTATAAAACCACTACAAAAGTCTCACTACCTTAACTGATCACTCTCCAAAATTAAACCACCTCGGCCTCCCGACTAGCATAACTTAAAGGACCCACCAGTAAACCAACTATAAAACCCATCAAATCCATAATGAACAAAGAGCTAGAAGAAATGAGAGCGAATAGCTTGTTTTTAGTGTGATGAGAATTTTGTACCTGAACATAAATGTAGAAATAAAAGGCTATACTCCTTATATATTATAGAAGATGAAGAAGACCTCGGAGATGAAGAAGCTGAGGAGGTGGAATTTACATGACAAATAATTACCCCTCATATGTCAATCAATGCCTTTGATGGGATCATTGGTTTTCATGTGACTTGAAAAGTAGACAATCATTCACTTTATATCATGGTAGATTCTCAGGTGGCTTATAGACTTAAGTGTGAACTTACAACCATCAAACTTTAATAGTGAAACAACTAATGGAGGGATAATGATCTGCTCTTCCAGGTATAAGAACTTCAGTCGGAGGATGTAAAGAGTAAATTTCATAGCAGATGTGCTATGAATATGTCAGTTGTTGAGCTCTACAATAAGCACGGACCACATCAACCTTAAATATTTACTGGATCCGAAGGTATTTACTCCCTCTCAGCATTTAGTATAAAAGACAGAATGAGAATGTCACAGCCGATCTGCCGATGCTCTTTCAAGGATTTGCAGCAGTTAAGTTTTTACTCTTGACAATGTCAACTCTTTCTACTAATATTATAGAAGACATTCATAAGTCTTGGGAAATACGCGTGAAAAAAGGTTTATTTTTGAATCTTTTTGTGGATCTTTGAAATTTTAAAGAAAAATCAGGTAATTTTAATACCGCATATGAAAACATCAAGAACAACAATGTCTCCTCTTATCCATTCATCACCCACACCGCGGTCTCCTTCTCCAATCAAGCAAGCACGCCACCTGAAACCAATCTTCTTCCTCATTCCATAGCCATCATCTTCATTAAACAGCACTAGCCTCTTTTTCAATTTTCCCCTCACATGGTCCAACGTCCAAAACACCCCCCCTACTCTCCTCCTTTTCCTCCTCAACTGACCACCATTCCAGCTACCATAAATCCACATCACCGGCCCACAAACAACCACTATCCAGCACAACTCCTCCCTCCACGAAGCCAAAGCAACATTGTGATCTCTTATCCTCTCGACTTAGATTAGTAACCCTTTATACCTGCCGTTTACACAACCCCTTCCCTATCTTCTCACTGTCATTTACATAGCCTACTCTCAACCAAAACAAAACAACTCCATGTCAACCTTCTTTGTTCAACCCAGGCTCCATCTTTCTCTCAGCCACAGTTCCCTTCACCTAACCAACCCAAAACATAGACACGCCACCCCTGGATTCCCGCTTAACAAACCACACAACAAACTAAACCTATTACAACCGCCCTTCATAACCATCAATTGTCGCCATCTTTCCCAGAATCACCATCATCGTCAATCAATTTGGGTGTTAATAGCGACTGTTTATGGTGTTCAGGGCTGAAAAATATAGCGAAACAACGCGTTGGCGAGGGAAGTTTCGTGGGTGCCTGACGGCTTGAAATTTATGGGATGCTTCGTTTGTGGTGGTTTTGGACATAATTGTTTTTTTTGGGAATCTATGACTATGATTTTACAGTCGATCTGGACTTTTATTTGAGTTAGAGGGTTTCTCTGTGGGTGGATCAGAAGCAAGTTGATGTGGGTGAAAACGGTCGTGATAGGGGCTGTGAAATCAGCGGAGAGAGATGTGATGTGGAGGTTGTGCTGTCGTGTCTGATTTTGTGTTTTTAAAAATATTTTAAAAATGGTTTATTTTTTTATTTTATTTATTTTATTGTTTTAATGTTAAAAATAAATTTTTTAGTTTATTTTTATTTTATTTTAAATTAATTATTTTATTTTTTTGATTGTTTTAATGTTAAAAATAAATTTTTTAAAATAAAAAAATATTATTTTAATATATTTTAAAAATAAATATTTTAAATAGAGTATATTTTTAAACATATTCTTAGGTGACCAGATGAGAGGTTTCAGTTGACTGACAAGGAAAGAGATTTTTTAATTTTAAGTAGAGAGAAAAGAAGTTGTAAGACGAAGAGAGAAAGATTAGATTCTTAGGTTTTTTTAATATTATATATATGGTTATTTTGATTAATTTAATTTTTTTTATAGAGAATAATTTCTTATAATTTTTAAAATAATAGAGAGATTATAAAAACATAAAAAACTTGGGTAATTTTTCTAAAAATATTAATATATGAAATTGTAATAGAAAAACAAATCATAAACATTGTAAATCCATGAAAAATTTGTTGTGTTAAGAAAATAAAATAAATGTTATTTTAATATTTTTTAAAATAAATATTTTAAATTAATTAAATTTTCAAATATATTTTTAATTATAGTAGAAGAACAGTTTGTTTGGTAGTGTTGTTATAACTGTTTTTTAAATAATTTTTATATTAAAAAACATGTTAAAATTATTTTTGATATTAATATATTAAAATAATTTAAAAATATTAAAAATATATTAATTTAAAATAAAAATAAAAAAATTTAAATTTTTTAAAATATAAAAATAAACATACGTGAGGATCCAGTTTACTGACAAGGAAAAAAACAGATTTTTTAATATTAAATAGAGAGAGAAGAAATTGTAATGTGAAGAGAGAAAAATTAGATTCTTCAGTTTAATATGATTATATAGGTTAATTTGATTGTTTTGATTAATTTAATTTTTTTTTTTATCGATATAGAATATTTTTTTTATAATTTTAAAATGATAGAGATTATCGAATAGAATATTTTTTTATAATTTTAAAATGATAGAGATTATAAAAAATAAAAAACTTGGGGGTAATTTTCCTAAAAATATTAATATTTGAAATTGCAATAGAAAAACAAATGACAAACATTGTAAATCCAAGAAAAATAGAAGATTTGTTGCGCTCAAAGAAAACAATATTAATATTATAAATTGTAAATTGGACATTTTTAAAAAATATTTTTTATTTAAAAATAAATTAAAATAATTCTCTTAATATTTTTATTTTAATATCAATACATTAAAATAATTAAAAAATACTAATTTTTTTTATATATGTAAATTGTATGTATTTTGAAGATGAACGTGCTTTTGGGTTTGAAACACTCTCCTTGACATTTCCAAAGTCGTGTCTTCCATTCTTCCTGTCTCTTAAAAATCCCATTTTTCCAAAATCTCAAAGATCTCCACTTGCCGCACAATTTTTCTACAATACTGACACTTCTCTTCGTTTCTCTCTTTTGCATCACTGTTTTTGCAAGGTCAGGTTCTCTCTCCCTCTCTCTTTTATTTCACCTCGAACTTGCTTATAATTTGTCTTTTTAATGTCAAGATCTTAACTTTTACTGAAAAAACCAAAAAACACCACAACTTTGAGGTTTGATCATTTGTTTTCACGATCTGGTCTCCTAGATCTGACTGAAATCCTTTCAAAATCTAAAGAGATGAACTCTTTTGCTCATTTTAAGATCTGGGTCTTGACCCTTTGTATGGTTTTGCAATCTGGGCATGGGTTTTACCTTCCTGGTAGTTACC